AATGATGCGCTTATGAGAGGATCAGACCAATTTCACTTCAAATGGACGATTCATTCTATGGCTGGAGCTGCACAGGCATCAGAAGTCACACACTGCCCCCCAGTGGTGGAAACCACTCACAGCTAATAAAACACTGCTTGCAGTTGGGGGGAAGGAAGACGTCATTCACAGGGTTCTTTATTTATTTAGTTTCGGCCAAGACATTATGGAATGCACGTTAAGGAGGACGTTCTTAACACATAATGGAATAGATACGGAAGATGTCGATTTTTAAGATTTTTTTTTTTTCCAAAGACATGGAATTTTTTATGACATGGAATCACGTCATCCTGTAGTTTGAGGCCCTCATTCATGCTTGGGAGTGAATTTGTGGACAACATTTTCCCATTTGGGCTACGTGTGTTCATGGTGCACAGTCTTCGGGATCGTTCACATCCACACGGGTTAATGGACTTCCTGATTGGGGTGGAATTCTCCCCCATTTCTTTCGCCAAGATGGATTGGAAACGGCGAATCCGGAACAGAAAAGAATTGTGCTGCTGGAAAGCTCACCTTCAGCACTTCTGAATGCTAATGAGGTGCTCGTGTTTCACGATTGGACACGGCATGATGGGACGGAGATGTAATATGTTCCGTCTGTTTGTTGCGATGGGTCTGATTTTGACTCCAAACTGATTGGAATTGTGGGGCCAAAATGAATGCTTGTCAGTGATAAATTAACAATACATCCACGAATCGTTTTCGTTGTTTTAATTACGCGGGGGTGTGGCTCAGTGCTGCATGTCTCAGGCAGCCCGTTTAGGCGGCAAACTAGCAAGGCAAAATGAGTCAATTGCAATGAATGGTTCCTATTCTAAATATGAAAAAATATATATTTGTTATCTTATAAGTGTCCCAAAAAATTGATAAAAAGTCATAATAGTTTTTCTTATTTGAAAAAAAATCCTCAAAAAGTTTTAATAAGTTGAGATAATAGTCAGATTTTACAAAAAAAGTGTTGTAGTTTGAAAAACAAAAAAGCCTGATCCCCCCCCCCCCAAGAAAAAGTTGAACTCAGAAATGTAACCCTAATCAGAACACAACTGTACCACTGGTGTCAACTATGTGACATCAAACTTTGCCGCTGCGAACACTTTGTGTGTGAACGCCCCCCCCCATAAAAGCGTCAGCATGGCCAGTGCAAAGTAAAAAGTGGAGCAAAGCGCCCAAAAGCGACGTGTCATTACGTTGAGCTGAGCAAAAATAAACATTTGTCGAGTGTGAGCCAAGAATTGATCGCGTGTCTTCGGGTGAGGGTGGGGGTGCCGTGAGGAGGGGAATGGAAGGGAGGAGGGCTGGGGTGCCGAGCTTGGCCCGGGGCTGTAGCTGACTGCCGCTTTTATACATAGTTTATTTGTACCTGTTTCTCGGACCGTTGCCGTATTGCCCGTCGTCTACCCCCGCCCAAGCTTGCTCTTCTTTCGACGGCCAGTTTGTGAATAAAACAAAGCGCTCGGCTTACTGCTGTATAATGCACCACCTCGCCATTGGACATCAATTGACAGCACGCGTGTCTACGCCCCCCCTGCCCCCCAGGATTGGAAGGGGAGGGGGTGGGGGGGGACTCTGGACCGGACCGCCACCAGATCTGTGGAAGGGGTTGCAGCAGTGGGGTTAGGATTTTAAATATTTCATGGCCCCTCCAAGCACAAAAAGACTACAAACGTCACCGAGCGAGCTGCTTTGGAGGTCGACGCTCATTCAAGGTCATGCAAAGCCTTCTGGGAAAAATATGTGCAACGATTGCTCTGGTTGGTCAGCGGCGCGGTTCCAGCTAGCGTGTCCGCTTAACTTTACAGCGCCAACTCAGGGATGAGCAGGAGCCAATTTCCAAATTCCCACCCCCATTGGGAACATTGAAAGCATGACGACTGTGACAAAAGGAAACAGGAAGGCACTGTGTCGAAGCGCCCCAGCCCTCGCGCGCTAAATGCAACAGCTAAATCAAACATATTTTTGTTCGGCACAGGGAGGGAGGGATTGGGGTGGGAGCGTACCTGTCGATAGCGACGTTAGTGGCTAATGAGACTGCACTAGGCCGGGTCACATCACATTTGTTGCCTGCCAGTCGCTTTGAACAGCTGCCACTTTACGGGACGCATTTTGATCTGCAAATCTGTCGGAACTGCAAAGCACAAGCGAAAAACACACACACACACACACACACACACACACACACACACACACACACACACACACACACAACGGATGCATTCCGATGTATACACAGTGCACTGTCTGTATGTAAAAAAGGAAAGAGAATGTGATAAAAAAAGTATCATTCGTGTTAATCTTGTTTTTTCAGAAATGGAGTAGGAATCTTTTGAGATAAAGTCTTCCATATTTATGAAAATAAGTTGTTTTGGAAGAAAAATATGAATGTTTCAGGAGAAATACTAACTAATCTCTTTTTCTAAAAAAACAATGAAAAAAATCACTCTTCCAAGAACATTTTTTTTTGTCATTTTGTCTTCCATTTTCAAGTTTTTTTTTTCAACATTAACTTTTTGTCCCCCAACCCCCAAAAAAGTTTTATTTTTTAAAAGAAAAAAAAAATCATTGTTACCCAAAGGGAAAACACAGAAAATTGTTATTATTATTTTTATTATTATTATTTATTTATATAGTATTTATTTATTTATTTATTTAAATTTTCGCGTCTTATTATTTTGAGCGTTGCAAATGCCTCTCTTTTTGGGGGCAAAGTTCTTTTAAGGAGAGTTCCGAACATTTTTTTTCCATCAAATAAAAAAGTACATTAAATCTAACAAGTCCAAATTTTAAGAACTAATTTTTTTGCTCGCGAAGTCATTATTGTTGAAATATGAATGGGATCGTTTTCCAAGTCAAAAGATGGCTGGATGAAGTGTGTGTTTGTGTTGTAATGACAAGCCCCTGGCGTCCAGCCGTCGTCATGAGGGACCTCCTCATTCCCACCTCCCCATTCCCTCATTGCTCCGGTGAAAATGAAAATGAGGGCATTGGCATTTCAAAGAGAATGGGCGCGGGCCCCTGATCACAGGTGTCAGACCCCCGCCTTCATCACGTCCACAGTGCCCCCCCCCACCCCCCACACCCGCTCCCGGCACCACCGTGGCGACAGCACAGGTCCACATGCATGTATACATGTTGCAGGGCATTGCCGCCTCTTCCCTCGTAAAACATTGAAACGGTTGCTTCTTGATGTTTGTGCAGGTGGACAGCAGATGGGGGCGGGGGTGACGGATGCGACTGGGAGGCTAGGCTTGATTAGGTGCGTTCAGTCCACATCAAAGATTGAAAGCCTACTTTGAAACCCTAACTTTTGTTGGAAACCCTACTTTGAAGAAACCCTCCTTTAAAAAAAGTCTTGCACTATGAAACCGCAATCCTTCTTAAAACCCTACTTTGAAACGCTTACCCTTGTTTGAAGCCCTACTTTAGAACACTAACTGTGATTTTAAACCCATACCCAAGATTGGAACCCTAAACCCTGCCTTGAAACCTTTCTTGCAGAAAACCTTGCAATGTGCCCGATTTAATCTTGGACCTTACCCTCCCGTGATAAACTTGAAACCTTAACCTTGCTTGAAACGCTACTCTGAAACTGTAACACTCCCGTGAAACCCCAACCCTGACTTGAAACCCTGACTTTGACTGTTCAAAAAAAATCTATTGGAATTTTTTTTTATCCAAGTATCTGTTCCTCCATCTAATACGAAGTTACTTTTGCCAACTCCACGTGTCAGCTAGCATATGTCCTAGCATCGAAACTCGAATCGCTACCGTCCCCGCTCGGCCTTTTATGTTCATCCACTCCGGCATGAAAAATTCATCCTGGACCCGCAGAAAAATGTCTTGCTGCACAGAGAAGTCATATTGCACTCAAACATTGATGAAGCTTTTAATTACTTTGATTGCTGGTGCATTCCACCGTAAATACACAATAAATGACTTGATGCAATTTTGATCTGCCCCTTTTAGCAACCCGCTCTCATCAAACAAATACACATAATAGACGAGAATGACAGACGCCGGAATTGGAAGACATTTTCTGCCCCCCGCCCCCCATCCCCGCAAATGTCAAATCAACTACGCACAAAGTACAGAAAAATGCACTCGTCATGTAAATGGTAGTCATCCTGAGACAAAACATCATTGTAGCTTGAGTAAAATTATTCCTAAATATGATCATTTAGGCTCCGAGTTGAGGCTCTCGACATAAACACAACCGTGTTACTAAAACCTTTTGTCGCCATCTAGAGGAAGAGAAAAAAAAGTGCGCTACATGAGTCGGCAGAAATGACATCATCAACTTAATGATGCGCCGACAATGCTAAATTCTCTTTTCTAATCACATTTTCATCCATAATGAAGTGTCACTCAGACAGACGCAATACCGTTAATCACATTTTTTTAATAAAAACGGTGAAATCAAAGTCTTTTTTTTTTAATTTCACGGTATAACTATGTTTGTTCTTAGGGCCACTGAGCATTGCGGCTAACACAGCTAGCATGTACTCTTGAGCAAAAACTAACACATTAGGGTTGATTTGCAACCCCGTTACCGTGAACTCCAGTCATACCATCACCTTTTAGCATAGCATATCTAGCAATGTCGTTGCGGCGTGTTTGTCGATGTTTCCGTGAATACATTTTGTGCGTGCCTGCATGAATCTTTACAAATAAAAGTACGTGGGACAAAAGCTTCATGCATGAGGTTCATTCCCGTACGCCTCGTTTCTCATGCTTTGATGTGTGCTTGTCATGTTGACGCACACATCGGGCGAGCGCATTTGTAACGCAGTCTACTGACAGTCATCTTAGCACAGCGCGCTAATATCATGAGGATCGACATGGTAATGCTCTCCGTCTGGCTGTCTCTCTGTCTACGTACATGTCTGACACTCATTTTAAGTGCACCGTGCGGCAAACAGGATTTGGGGACAAAGAAATATAATACAAAGACGATATAGACTTACAGCGAATATGCCTTCCAAATGTGCTTACTTCAAAGCTGTTTATTGCCACTTCCAGTTGACGTTTCCTGTCAAACAAAGAGAACAACACGTTTGGCCAAACTGCAAACATTGCCTTTATGAAAATACACTGGCTTAATGCTAACACACACACACACACACACACACACACACACACACACACACACACACACTATTATTCTGCTGTACAACAAAAGTAGAATAAAATAACACAGTGAACTACTAAGAATTGGACCAATCAGGAATAATAAATACGTAAACATCATAATTTAATAATAAGTTATGATCATACACACGCCGTTAGCATCATCGATACTTGCAAATGTGACTGATGAAAAGACAACACAACAGTCATCTGGCAGAAGAGCATTTCATTTTTTGCCTGTTACTCTACGTGGTTGGCATACAAAAAATTATACCAAATTTGGGGGCGGGGGGGCAAAATAATGAACATTGAATCATTTTCAGCGGCACACCTGATGATCTCTCACAGCACACGAATGTGCCACGGCACACTGGTTGAGAATCACCGGGTTAGCGTACTACGTAGGGCACTACCAGTGACACGCAGGCAAATAAACGGGCATACGCGGTCATATTGAAGATAATGCACAGCTTGAATATACTCGGCGTATTGAGGAATTGCGAGAGACCTCGAGTGTGTGTTTGCTGGCTACCAGTTGGAGAGAGCAATCTTGTGTATCGATCCACGGTTGCTCCTTCAAAGCTGCGAGAACATCGATCAACTCCTATGCGCAGTCATTAACATACACGCTGTTAACAAGCGGCGCCGCGGTGTAGCGCGTCCGGGCATCAAGACGGCCATCGACACGCGCGCTTAGCGGCTAACGCACGCTCTCGCCGAGTGGATCATCCGTAGCTCGAACCGCTTTACTTCAGCGTGAGAGCACGCCCATCACAAATTCAGAAGGCAAACGGAGGGGAAAAGGATCCAACAAGCTACGCAAACAAAAATGACCGGAATAAACCCTAGACCGCTAAAAGCAAAAAAAAGCGGCATGCACAATGCCCACTAAAAGGAGCTTTTAGCAACCAACAGGCAGCAAGGGCTGCGAAATGGGCCTCCTAACATCCTGCAAAGAATACTCGGTAGGTTAGAGGATTACTTAAAATACTACATTCGATACAGTGGTACCTACGATACTACGCTAGTACAATGCGGCATTACTTAGGATACTCTACAGCTTTGAATACACAACTACGTAAAATTGAGTACTACGTATATTATATAACATGCGTGACAGGCTGATTGAACACTCCAAATTGTCCCGAGGTGTGAGTGTGAGCGAGGATGGTTGTTCGTCCCTGTGTGTGCCCTGCGATTGGCTGGCAACCGGTTCGGGGTGTCCCGAAGATGGCTGGGATTGCCCCCCCCCGTGACCCTTGTGAGGATAAAGCGGATCGGAAAATTAATGGACCGATAGGATACAGTTCCACACGGGACGGAGGACTACATAGGACACAGGATTACAGTACAGGAGATGAAAGTACTGGATCAAGTGGTACTTAACTCATTCACTCCCAAAGACGTTTTTAAACGTCTTTTCAGACTTGGTCTAGAATTGGCTGGTACTGGATAAGTTAAGAATTCACATTTATAGGAGGCAATACCACTAAAGATACCATACCTGTGTCAAACTCAAGGCCCAGGGAGCCAGATCTGGTCCAGCAGATTATTTTATGTGGCCCCGTAAAGGCAAATTATATGCATCTTCAACTTCATGTTTCGTGCTTAAATACCGAAATTGAAAATTGTCTTCAGCGGGGACAAAGACAGAATGATTTCATTGGGGTGGCCGGTGAGGTTCAGTCACACAAGTATGCACACATCATTTTTTATTCTTGTAACTAATGGAGAAGTCATTGTTTATCAAACCCTCCTCGGACGGATTTCATGAAAATAAAATGCCCATTTTTTTTTCTCTTTTTTTGGAAACCAATCCTCGTGTCAAAGTAAATGTAATAATACTTGAATAGTTTTTCCTGGCCCCTCATTTCAAAGCTGCCTCGTACATACGGCTATTACATCACGGCTCTCCAAAGGAAACCAGAACTACGATGTGGGCCGTAACAAAATGGAGTTTGACAGCTCTGCATGACAACACAGGATTCAGCACTGTAGTACTATAAAGGACAGAGTACTAGCTAAGGCGCTGCGGTGTTGAAATGTTAGAGGGCGTTGTGCCTGCCAATAGAAGTTGAATAATTGAGGCTCTGCAAAAGTTTTAAGCTGCCAATCGTTATATCTGCTGACATCAGATCAGATCTTGAGGGGGCGCCGCTACTTCCTGTCCGACTACATAACAGGCAAAAACATCTGCGGCAATATTTCCCGCCACGTGGATACAATTGTACTTGTAATTCTCCCGTTTTCTCTTGCTTACTTCCATAAATACGCCAGTGTGATTTATGGCTCCTCCGAGAGCTAATTTAGGGCAAAAAAAAAAAAAAAAAGCGTGCACATTTATTAGTGCGGAGTCGGGGAATTCCCGGGGTCGACTCGCATCAGCCGTGATTTTCTCCTTCAAAGGCAGCGCTGATAGATGCGAGCGGACGCCGTGGTCGGATCGATACACGCTCCTGAGGACGTAACGGCCTTCCCGGGATGACTCGACCTCTTCCAAGGCCTTTAATTCCCAACGTTTAATCGCCCGCTGCTGAAATATTAATTGGCCTCTTTTCACTTTGTGAGTAGATGTGTGTGAGTGCGCACGCGTTTTTGTTTGCCATTTGTGTGTTCGCCCGTTTTCAGTCGCATCAATATTGTCAGGCTTACATTTTTCAGTGCATTCGAGGAGTAAAATGGAAGCATTACTCCGCTATTTTATTATTATTATTACTGTTACTATTAATTTTATTATGACTACTAATTTAATTATCATTTATTATGGAGACCTAAAGTGTTAGAGGAAAAAAAAAAAAACAATGTCAGCTTCAGAAATCATCCACAAACGTTTACTTGCATTTCTGATTTTAAATAGATTATAGCAATCTAGTTTGTTGACCAGTGTTTTTGTTGTTTATTTGTCATTGTTTAGTGATTACAAAACCACTAAACAACAACTTACCAATATCACTCTAGCAGGATTGATGAAGTATTGACCAACCTTTTTGAAACTTAATCCGTTTTTGGTTCGGTTGGGTTTTGTTTTGGGTTTTTTTCAAATTCAGTGACAAATGTTAGACTGGACACAGGACAGCATGATCCCAGGCTTAAATCATATCCCATCACGTCACTATTGAAGGCTTAAATATGTCGGTTGAGGAGTAAAGTGGAAGTGTTTGTCCTCACACACACACGCACACAATCCATCAAGCACTTTACCTGCGCGAGTGTGTGTGTGTGTGTGTGTGTGTGTGTGTGTGTGTGTGTGTGTGTGTGTGTGTGTCGGTATGTACCCGCGAGACGTTGCTGATGGACACTCAGGTTGTAGCCGGTGGAGGGCGCTCCCTCCCTGGAGCCCACCTGCCCCGGTCACCTCCGTGTTTTCCGCGTGCATCGTCGCAACTTTTTGACAATGACGAGCGCCGTAACGGAGGAAAAGTGCTCTCAGCCTTTGGAGAGCAAAAATAAAAGCTGCTGGTGGATGTGTAAATGCATCGCCGCCACAAGGGAGCATGGATTTTTTTTTTTTTTTGCTTGTTTTTTTTTTTTTTGTTTGTTTTGTGTTTTGTTTTTTTATCCCAACCACATGTCACGTCAATCACTCAATGGTAATGATAATGGCTACCAAGTTTAAAAGGTAAAACATTTGACGACGGCTTATGTATTGTGTTCTTTGGTCATGTGTTTCCTTCAAGACGGCTGCAAACCATAATCGTTATTATGGTCACTCTGAAATTTTATTTCAACAGTCCTTTTCTTCTCATTTGAAATATTTCAATCCCATATTAATCAGACATGTCCTGTGATTAACAGATGAACCATTTTTTAAATTATAAAATGAGTGCAATGATTGCATGCATGCACGCCTCAATTTTAGCAATTGCAATAATAAGCCATGAATAAGAGTATACCTGTGGTCTTCAAAATGAATGAATACTTCTTTAATGGAAATATATTGTCAATTATCTTCCCATTCTAGCCCAAATACATTTGTATCAAAGACTAGGCCTCATCATTGCTCGTGCTAATGGTTTCAGTATATAAGCCACTTGGCTAGTAGCTAGTTAGCACAACTACATCCCAAGACGCCGAATAAAAGCCCTCATTAGCTCATACAACCACTCTTTTTTCTACACGTCATACGAATAAAAGTTGCTGGTGTCAAAAGGCACTTTTACAAATACTCCCGCGATATTTTTTCATTAGCGGCCTGTGCTAGGGCCTGCTAATGCTACCGGTTAGCACCAATTAGCACAAAAGCGCTAGCTGCGAGAACAATCGTCGAACTCACCAAGGCGAGAAGAAAAGTGGTCGAAACTCCGGCACCCCCCGTCTCCAGCTCAGCTTCCGCTGGTTCACAAGTGTTCGCTGACATGTGTACTGTACTCGCTATTTTGATAGGGTTTCAAAATAATAATTTGGGTTTAATACACTGGTTGGTTCTGGAGGGTGTGGTCTCAGTGCTCATTCTGATGACGTACAGCATAATATAGCGGGACTTTTTTTTTTTTTTGACAATACACTCAACCCAATTGTTTAATCGGTTACATTTACAGTACCTCAATCTCTAATTTTAACTTCTGGATTCAAACCCTTATTTAAAAACCAAAACCTAATTAGGATCGTGATGCCTCGCTGTAACTCTAATTTGGAGCCTATCTTCAAATTTAATTATGTCTCGAAAAGTCAAACTTTACTTGTCTGAAACCCTAAATTTAGTCCAACATCCTAATTTAGCTTGAAACCCCACTTTGATTTTTGAAGCCCTATCTTCAAAGCCCCAAATTTTAAATAAAATTGAAAAAAAACGAAACCATGACACTTTCATAAAATAATTCCATCTTGAAAAAAATCAACTCTGTCTTGAAACCCTAACTTTAAAGCATAATCCTTGTCTGAAATTCCAACCCTTGGTTCTAAACCCTGATTTCAACCCTACTTTGAAACCGTAACCTTGTTTTAAACCCGACTTTTAGACTTGTTTGAAACCCTAGCCTTAAAACCTAATTTGGAACCCTAACTTTATCTTCAAACTCTTATACAAAACCTGAACTTGATACCCAAACCCTAATTTGAAATCCTAATTTGAAGACCAACTCTGTCTCGAAAACCTAATTTGAAACCGTACCCCTTGTGTAAAACGCTAATCCTGTTTTCACACCCTAATTTATAATCGTAACCCTTGCTTAAAGCCTTACTCTGACTGTCTACTGGTAAATGATAAACTTTCATTTCAACACACGTCCTTGCGTTTGTCTTCCAAAAGTGATGCTATGCTGCCCCCTCTCTGCCATCTGAGTACAAAGAGGCACGCTGATCTTCAGTATAAAGCACATCAAGACCACTCCCAGTATCTTCGGGTCGCTGTTGTTCTCGCGTAAAACTCATTTTTCCCTGACACGTTTGCGTCCACCCAGAGTGCCCGTAACCTTCTTAAAGCCGTCCATTTCAAGGCCTCCATCAAACACTTGTTATAGATTTTACCTCCGGCGAGGAAGGGTTGGGGGATGCACGAGGGGGATCGCTGGGTCCTTGGCAATCCTACCTGAGAAAAGACGAAGAAGATAAAGAAAAAACTAAAAGGATCCCGAGTGTCCCGAAGGATGCTTCTCAGAACTCCAAACCGCATCGTCCCGCGCGCCGACCTCAAGATGGAGGATGCCAAGAAAGAAATGAGACGGGAGGCCGAGGGCACGGCGGCTTGTTTGTAAAGGCAAATATTTCCGCCAGATGTTAACCAGCCTCCTTTCGAGATGTGAGAAATGGATTACTCGGACGTAACCGATGAATCAATCAATCGGTTTTTGATCGTCGTGGAAATAAACAAGGTTGTTTAGTGCAAGTTTGGAGGAGTATTGGACCAAAAACGTTATCCGATCAGACTGTATGGGACACGTGTAAATGCTGAGGGGGTGGAGGGAAACAAGCCCCCCAATAAGTTTGCACAAAACATGACATTCGATTACTATGTGGGCAAAAAGTGTAATTGGTCACATAAAATGTGAAAATGGAAGTGCAACAGCAGCGGCAAAAAAAGTCATATTTGAGCCATGTGTTCCAATACTTGTACACGAAACAGGTGAAAAAAAAAAAAAAAAAAACTAATGTGAGCAAACGTATTGGAACATATGAAAAGTGAAAACGGTCAAATACAAATATTTGAGGACGAGGCAAGTGGGGGACACACGTGCAAAGCGAAAATAGAACTTTGAAAACATTGAGGGGGGGCGAGTTGGGTAAGATTTAAGTCATATTTGGTTCGGGTTCATTTTTTTTTAACCTATGTTGAACTTTTGCGTTAATGTTCACACTGTGCATCATGTTGCACTGGCTGACAATCACAAATGTTCGAAATCGTAGTACCTACTTTCTTCCACTAGAGGGGGGCCTTCTCCCAAAAATACGTTGACTTGCACTTGCAGGTGCTTTTTTTCTCATGAGTTAAAATAAACACAAAACACACATTCCTTCTTTTTCAGCTTTTTTTTTAACAGGCTGAACAAAATTTATTTCAATTCCACACTCAGAGGATGTTTTTTTTCAGAGTAAAACAACTAATAAAAAAATAAAAATAAGTAACAAAAAAATAAGTGGTCTGTGTTGTAATCCTCATATGGATTTTGGATGTTTGGTCTCTCTCGTCAATGTTTGACCACAGAGGACAGTGGAATGTGTAAGCTTACACAAACAAACCTTTTCACCTCTTCCCAGAACACACACACACACACACACACACACACACACACACACACACACACACACACACACACACACACACACACACACACACACACACACTTACTATCTTATGTTCCCTCACTTTTGGTCTTTATGATTTCGTGCTCTTGACACACAGTTGAAGATTCGTTCAAAGTGTACAATGTATGTGTGTGTATCGAAAGCACTATAGACACACACAAACATACAAGCCATAACAATAGGTACTCTAGAACAAGCCAAGACCTCCAATGTTGACTTTTGGTGAACTTAACAAAAAATAATAATAAATACGGTATGTCTGTTATTACCCTTGAAGTCTCCAGTGTTTACAATATTTGGACCCACTCATGTCGCTACATCAAGAATTGACTCTGACGAGAGAAAAGTGCAATACTAGCATTCAAAATACATACTTCTTCCCCTCGCAGTAACAAGAATAAAATTCAAATATTACCCCCCCAAAAATATAATCAGTTTGATGGGGAAGAGTTCAGTTTACAGGGCTAAATAAAGTTTGAATATTAAGAAGTGGGAGAGGGGGAATAATGTTGTCATTTTACCAGAATATAATTGTCTTCTTAATATTAAGTGAAGCAGTACCATATCTTTTATTACTGAAAAGCTAATAATGTTACAAGAATAAAATGTTTTGGGTTTTCTCTGGTATTAAAGTAATAAAGTTGCCTTGTTCTAGGGCATGGGGGAGTCAGTCATTTGACGATAACTAGGTTAATGTTACCAAAACATTTTTTTGAGAATTAAGTCATAACGCTACAAGGGAAAAAAATGTTAATATTTAGTTGAGCAAAGTCAAAACATTAGAAAAATATAGTCGCTATTTTTCTGAAGTGAAAATTAAACAAGAGTAGTCGCAATATTCTTTCAAGGAAAATGTCAAAAATTGTAATTTTTCTCATGGAAAAAAAAATCGAATTCAGAGAATCGAGTACAGTAGTAACACTGAGTCTTTTTTTTTTTTTGCATTCAGAAAGAAACGGTATAATTTTGGGAGACTCAACTTGACAAAATAAGTAATTAGGTTGAAATATTATAGTTAAATAGTAATATTCAGCGCAAATAAATTCAATGTTAGCAATGTGTCTCGCAAATGTCAGTACAGTATTTGTGCTGCCAAGAGCTGCTCCACTAATTCTTGTGCTTCAAACGAGGCAACAAGAGTGCCAACATCAATGAAACGGGGTGCGACAGGTAACACAGAACATTCTTGAAAAATTCTTGGTGAAAAACAAAACAAGCTTTAACACCGACTAAACAAATTTTCAACTTAAATGTCCGCCACGTTACTACAAACGTGGCAGAACTTGCTCTCCGCAGACTTTGATGATCGCCCCTAAACCCCATTTGTGTCGCTAATGCTAAGTTGCTACATGCATAAACATGAGGACAAATATAACATGGTGAGTGGGGGGTGAAGGTGGGGGGGAGGGGATCCTAGTAGTTTACGTTAATTTTTTCCAGTGCTTTAACATTCGCTTTGCAACTGTGCTCATTCCCCTTTTTCACTGAGCTGAGCTGGCAGCGACATAATCCAGCCGTTGAAAGTGACCTGTGGTAACCAGCAAAGGGCACCACTCATAACTGACGGGTCCTCGAAATATTGTATATTCCTGTTTGCAGAACGGAAAAGGTGGCACCCAAGGTGTTTTTTTTTTGTTTTCTCCAGAAAGCCCCAAATGCCCGGCGGCACTACCGCCTGCGTCACCGTTAGTACACCTGGAAGCATGCCAGGCAGTGCCGGCGACAGCGCTCACGGTGGCGCCCGCTCGTGCTTCCTCTGGTGATACCCAATGTGGGACCCTTGCAGGCACGCCTGGTCACTGCTGCCAACTTAAGAAAAAAAAAAAAAACTTCTCTCTGGATCAGTAGAGAGTTGCGACGAGCTAAGAATCTACGCTCATGTCATCTCAGGCTCCATTCCATCCCCGGCTCGATGTGAAAGCGGTACCAACAGAGTTCAACTTGGCTTGTGAGCTGCTGCATGAGGAGGGAAAAAAAAAAAAACGTTGCTCGAACAAACTCAAGGCTTTCCATCAGATACTTGTGCCTATGCTAAAATACTTTTCCTTTGAAACGTACTCATATCCCTTTCACACCAAGGCGGCGACTGTGATAGCATGCGACATCCGGTGAGGTTTCTGGTTTATGAAGTGATGAGCTTGTTGGAGTAAAATGGCGGTTAAACATTAGGGCTGAGGACATGTGGTCACTACTGGCCGGGAGCAGAGGTGCCCCTTGAATGTACGATTTTCAATTTGCAGTATTATTATTATTTTTTTTTTTACTTGGAGTCTCAAATACCCGACAGAACCTCTGATTGAAATATGTTCCCTTTTGGTGCTAGACCAGCGCTACCTGGCACCATCTCGATGTGAAAGGGGTACCAGAAGAGTCCTACTTGGCCTGTAAGATGCTGCATAAAAAAAAAAAAAAAAAAGCGCCATTGTTGCCCTCCCCCCGCCCTTCAAA